AATTGGGGGTGGGGGGGGTGTTGGGAGGGGTGGGGGAGGGGAGGAGCCCGGATGGCCGGGCCGGTTCCAGCGCCGGGCACGGGGGGGGTGGGGGCGCCGTGGGACGGGAGGGGTGGGACCCCCAAAACTTCTGGGGTTTGTCCCGTGGAGGGGATGGGAATTCCCTGGAGACACCCCCAGGATGGGGTACGGGGGTGCTGGGGCCACCCCCCAAAAGCTTCTGGGACCACCCGTGGGAGGCTGCGGACCCCTGGAACGCCTGAGACCGCCCCCCTCCCCCAGGGAAACGGGGATCCCCCAAAATCCTGGGACCCTGCCATGGGGAGATGGAGCCCCCCCAAACCCCTGAATCCCCCCAAAGGCAAAAAACCCCGCAGGGGGTGAGGATGGAGATGGGATCCCCCAGACGCTGGGACCCCCCAAAGTGGACGGGACCCCCCGAAAGCGCTGGGATCCCCCATGATGGGTGTGGGGGCGAATGGAACCCCCCCCCAAACCCCAAATTTCCCCTCCGAGGGGGGTGGGACCCCCAAACACGCGCCCCCCCCCCACTACCAGCCCCCCCCAAGTCAGGACGAGGCGTCTCAGGCAGTTTTGGGGTCTCGGGAGTTTTATTTGGTCACAGTCGCCCCCCAAACCTCCCGGGACCCCCGTCCAGTGTCGGGACCGCCCGGGGGGCGGGGCTTCCGCCGTGGGGGCGGGGCCTATGCGCGCCCACCAATCAGGGCGGAGCTTCCTGGTTTGCCCCGGGTGAGGGGCGTGGTTTCCTGCCGTGGGGCCCCGCCCTAGGGGGGCGGGGCTTCTGTAATGCCCTTTGCTTTGACCAATGGCGCGCCCGCATGGGCGGGGCTTCCGCCGCAGCTGTCAGTCACGGCCCGGAGGGGGCGTGGCCTCTGCGAGAGGCGGAGCTTGCTGCTGTCAATCCGTCCTTCCTGGCCGCTCATTGGGCCCCGGAGGGTGGTGGGGGCGGGTCCAAATCGCGGCGGGCGCTCTCATTGGTCGGTGAAGGGGTCTCGGGGGCGGGGCTC